CTCCTGTTATCTTCTTCTTTTTCTTTTTTCTTAAAATATGTTGCATTATTTGTTTCAGAAGTACAGATCTGTGATTCAACAGTCTTGCACAATTCACAGCGCTCACCGTAGCACATACCCTCCCCAATGTCTATCACCCAGCCACCCCATCCCTCCCACCCCCAACCACTCCAGTAACACTCAGTTTGTTTCCTGAGATTAAGAATTCCTCATATCAGTGAGGTCATGTGATACATGTCTTTCTCTGATTGACTTATTTCACTCAGCATAACACCCTCCAGTTCCATCCACGTCGTTGCAAATGGCAAGATCTCATTCCTTTTGATGGCTGCATAATATTCCATTGTGTATATATACCACCTCTTCTTTATCCATTCATCTGTCGATGGGCATCTTGGCTCATTCCACAGTTTGGCTATTGTGGACATTGCTGCTATAAATATTGAGGTGTACGTACCCCTTCGGGTCCCTACATTTGTATCGTTGGGGTAAATACCCAGTAGTGCAATTGCTGGATCGAACGGTAGCTCTAATTTCAACTGTTTGAGGAACCTCCATACTGTTTTCCAGAGGGGTTGCACCAGCTTGCATTCCCACCAACAGTGTAGGAGGGTTCCCCTTTCTCCACATCCCCGCCAACATCTGTCGTTCCCTGACTTGTTAATTTTAGCTATTCTGACGGGTGTGAGGTGGTATCTCATTGAGGTTTTGATTTGGATTTCCCTGATGCCGAGCGATGTTGAGCACTTTTTCATGTGCCTGTTGGCCATTTGGATTTCTTCTTTGGAGAAATGTCTGTTCATGTCTTCTGCCCATTTCTTGATTGGATTATTTGTTCTTTGGGTGTTGAGTTTGATAAGTTCTTTATAGATTTTGGATACTAGCCCTTTATCTGATATGTCATTTGCAAATATTTTCTCCCATTCTGTCGGTTGTCTTTTGGTTTTGTGGACTGTTTCTTTTGCTGTGCAAAAGCTTTTTATCTTGATGAAATCCCAATAGTTCATTTTTGCCCTGGCTTCCCGTGCCTTTGGCGATGTTTCTAGGAAGAAGTTGCTGCGGCTAAGGTCGAAAAGGTTGCTACCTGTGTTCTCCTTTAGGATTTTGATGGACTCCTGTCTCACGTTTAGGTCTTTCAACCATTTGGAGTCTATTTTTGTGTGTGGTGTAAGGAAATGGTCCAGTTTCATTCTTCTGCATGTGGCTGTCCAATTTTCCCAACACCATTTGTTGAAGAGACTGTCTTTTTGCCATTGGACATTCTTTCCTGCTTTGTCAAAGATGAGTTGACCATAGAGTTGAGGGTCCATTTCTGGGCTCTCGATTCTGTTCCATTGATCTATGTGTCTGTTTTTGTGCCAGTACCATACTATCTTAATGATGACAGCTTTGTAATAGAGCTGGAAGTCCGGAATTGTGATGCCGCCAGCTTTGCTTTTCTAGTTACTGTATTTTTCAAATCCTGAATTTCTGTTTGGTTCTTATTTTGTTCATATATTGTTTTGCTGATTTGCTTTAGTTCTTTGTCATTTTCCTTTAGCTCTTTCAGCATGTTTAAGACAATCATTTTAAAGTCTCTGTCTAATAACTGAAACTTGTGTCTCTTTAGGGTCAGTTTCTGGAGATTTGTTTTATTCCTTCAAATGGGCAACATGGCCTTGTGATCTGTTGTTGAAAATTGGATATTTGAAAAATGCAGCCAGTCTCTGTCTTTGCAGCTGGCTCTTTGCAGAGAAAGGCCTTCAGTAATCTAACCATATGAAAACTTAAGGTCTCGGGCATGTGTCTTTCCTAGGCCTATGTATGTGCTTTTTTCTCAATTTTACCAAATACATTGTTACTTTTTCATGTTTTAATTTCCTTAAAAGTCTCATACGTGCTTCTTCTTGGGGCCCTAGATGTTATATTGCCTTCCTCTGTCTGTAGTCCGCCCTGTCCCCCCCTCTTCTCCGAGGTGGCCACGGTCTACAATTTCCACTCATTGTGGCATCTGCCACTGCTTTCAGACACCTCCAACTGATATTCAAACAAGGTCACCATTCCTATCTGAGCTCCTAAGTCAGATGAGGCAGAAACCAGTCCTGACAAGCCAGAACGTTGAAACAAATTCCAGTCTTTTCTTCTGTCCCAAGGGAGGGGCTAGGAATCAGGATGCTTCTCCCAATCATACTTCACAACACCAGAGAGGGGATGGGGCAAAGCTAAACAAAAACAAAATTTCTTGCCATTTTGAATATGAATTTTTATCATTTGGACATTTGTTGGTTGCCATAGATCCTTGACTATTTCTAGAGTTCCTACAAAGCTATTTTAGTCTGTTGATTACTTGATGTTTCTGTGAGGGAACAAGGGTTACCTGGGATCTTCCAGGTCTGTCTCTTGCTTACTTCACCTCTAGAGGTAACTTAATTTTAAAAATAAACTCCCCCAAATATTCAGGAATTAGATTAGTCTCTTGTTCTGTTGTCATAATAATGATAGTAATTTTATTGAGCACCTACTATGTGCCAGGCACTGTCATATACACTTTACCTCTTTAAATAACTAATTTAAACTTTACTACCTTCTAGGTAGTGTTGTACCCATTTCATAGATGAGAAAACTGAGGCACAAAGGAGAACCTACTGTCCATATGGACCTAAGACAGAGACATGGGGGAATGAAATTTTAAGGCTTTAATAGGTGACATGAAAGCTATTCATGGTTTTATGTGACTCAAGAGGAGGTGGTGACAGTAGACCAGAAGTTGGCTGGATCACAACCTATCCCCAACTTTTCTTGGTTCTATAAATGCTTTAAAATGGGATCTCAGTCCTTGAGCTACATTTTCACTGGAATGTGTCTTTGGTAGTAGATTGGCCAAATAAGTGCCCTTTTCCTTTAGGAAGTAACACATGGTGTGTGATCTTGAACAGGAGGGCAAGAGAGGTCCAAACCCAGCCCTGTGGTGGGTGAATGACCAAGGGGATGAACTGAAGTGGAGTTTCAGAGAGTTGACAGACCTATCCCGCCGTGCAGCCAATGTCTTCACCCAGATCTGTGGCCTGCAGCAGGGAGACCGTCTAGCCTTGATTCTGCCTCGAGTGCCTGAGTGGTGGCTGGTGACCATAGGCTGCATCCGAGCAGGTCAGTGACTGAAAGAGACCCCAACAGACTTTAGGTCTGGCCCAGAGCCAATTGGTCCTGAAATATTAATATTCCCCTATCTTTTTTCATATTCTGCACAGTCTTTGTCTTTCTTAGACTCCCTCAAATATTCTTTTACTCCTTCTCACTCACTCTCTCTTTCATACTTACACACCCTCAAACACAGTGTCATAACTCTCTAAATCATCCACACACACACTTTCTCCTGCATAGTCTTATTCTTTTTTTCAAAGATCCACCAGGTAATGAGCACTGGGTGTTATATAAGACTGATGAATCACTGAACTCTACCTCTGAAACTAATAATACACTATATGTTAATTAATTGAATTTAAATTTAAAAAATAAAGAAAAAAAAAGATCCATCCATTGTTAACATTTTGCACTCCTCCCACACTGAGTCATTTAAGTATCAGTTGCAGACATTGTGACATCCATAAAGACCAGATAAACACCCATAAACACTGAAGTATGCATCTGCTATGATCCAAGATATTCTCCTCACCTAACCACAACAGAATTGTCACACAAGACATCTAACACTGATACATCCATTGACAAAATTCTTTAATTTTTTTTGTTTGAATCCAAAATCCAATAGAGGATCATGCATGCATTGCATTAAGTTTCACATTTCCTCAATCTCCTTCAATCTGGACTTTTCTGTATGACCACATTTTGGAAATGTCTAAGCCAGTTGTTTTGCAGAAGATCCCACAAAATTTGTGTTTCTGACTCTTTCCTCGGGATTACATTCAGTTAAACATTTTTAGTAGGAGTACTAAAAGGACAGTTTGCCTATCTCAGTGCTTTACATCGGGGGATACATCAGGTTGGTTTGTCCTATCATCAGTGATATTTACAAACACCTTTGCAAGGTACCTTTCCCTTTAGAGTTAGTAAGTAATACTTATGCGACTGTGTGAGTATCCTGTTCTCTGATTGTCTTTCACCCTATGACTTGAGAATCCATTAATGATTCTTGATTGAATTGAATAATATTATGGTCGTTTTATATGATAATTTTCTACATATTATTCTTTCTACATTTACTAGTTAGCATTCTGTGGCTATTTCCCTTTCCTGTTTAATTGCCTATCTTTTTATATAATATAGAATTGGTGTGGGACTCATGGATTCTCTTTTGATTCGCTTTATAATGCATGTTCATATAATCTCTCACCAATAAAATACTAGATTAATCCATCAAGTTCATGTGGAATGAAGAATTAACAGCAATGGCAGAGAGAGTATAGAGAAGCCATGTCATCTGTAGAGCTAAGAGATGGCCCATGGGAAATACAGACATGAGCTTAGCCCTCTGGTATAGGCAGATTTAAAGAGGGATAGAAGCAAAGGAAGAGAATTTAAAGAATGGGCAGAAGGCAGGAGTCAGGAGAAGCCTGTGTGAAGAACAGCCATATTGAAATAGTGAATAGATTTGCAGGAGAGAAAGGTGGAGGGTGGGGAGTGCCTTCAGTGTGGGGGAGAGTATGGTGTTTTCCTGGAGAGAGGGTACAGGTACTGGTGAAGAGAAGAAAAGCAGAGTAGGAAAAGTTGGTGTTCTATGGAACCTGAACAGGTAATAATATGGAAGTTGGGTAGTAGGAAGACTCAGGACAAGGCACCTGGTGGAGAGATTAGAACCCAACAGGGGCACATGAAGACTTGAACTAATTGTTGGTGATAGAAGACAGAAGGGAAAGCAGGGAAGTTCAAAGGATAATGTAGTTAAATTTAGATATGCAGAGTGAGGGAGAGGAGATTCAAGATGACACAAGGGACTGACAGAGGAGGAAATGAGACAAGAAAAATGGAGGTAGGGATGCAGCTAATCCTGATGTCAGGGACACTGTCCTACTTACATGCTTAGTCCCAGATCCTGTGTAAAGTAGGATCCACCAGTCTACTGGCCAGATCCATCTAGAGTAGTAGAGGTCGGGGCAGGATTTTCAAATTTCAATGTGTGTAGGAATCTCTTGGAGACCTTGTTAAAGTGCAGATTCTGATTTGGTAGGTTTGTGATGGGGCATGCGATTTTGTGTCTTAGGTGGTGCTGATGGTGCTGGTCCATGGACCATACTTTGCACAGCAAGAGGCTAAGTGGATTTCTATGCAAATAAGCCAAGCCTGAAATCCAAAATTTCCTTTTTCATTCCCAGGAATAATCTTCATGCCAGGAACCATCCAGTTGAAGGCCAAGGACATTCTCTACCGATTACAAGTGTCCAAAGCCAAGGGCATCGTGACCACAGATACCCTTGCCTCAGAGGTGGATTCTTTAGCTTCTGAGTGTCCTACTCTGAAAACAAAGCTCCTGGTGTCTGACCAGAGCCATCAAGGGTGGCTGGACTTACGATCATTGATTAAGTGAGTTTCTGTTCTGATGAATGTGCTTTCTAAGGAAGGGCAGGAGAAGGCCATTCACTCCCAAGTGCTGGTAGACAAACAACCAGTGGGAGGAGACTCACCAGATCTGATGGCAGAAACCTTCTCTTCCCAGTTATGCCACTGATTTGCTGTGTGACCCTGGGCTGGTCCCTCCCCCTTTCTTGGATGCAATTGTTTTATCTGTAAAATAAGGGTATTGAACTTCCATGCCTCTGTCACTAAAGTATTATCAACCCTGTGCAAAGGAGATGTATAAAGTCAGAGGGTTGTTGTGTTGTGTCTTCCTTGTAGGTAGGGATTCTGAAATATTATGTTTATATAAAAAATAAATATATGAAGAGATTGAATGAAAGATTAAGGGATGAATTTTTAAGGGAAAGCTTGAGACTGTAAGAAAAATTGGGGCTATGGCTGTCAGGCATCTTGAGGAGCAAACACTTTCCATCTCTTAGAGGTTGCATAACTTTAGGGACACCTTGCAGGAAAGGTTAGGGAAGTGTTGGAGGCAAGTAAGACCACTTCTACCTCCAAAACTCTGATTCTGTAGATCTTCAGGCATTTTTCATATCACCCACAAACCATGCTGGGTTTGTTTTCTTGAAATAACCCCTCAGTTTTTAAAGTCCTTTAGTTCAGCCTCAAAAGGCAAATATCACACTGAAGTCACACCTTACACTGGATTTTAAAGTCAGACAATTAAAAGAAAATGGTGTAAATAAAGAATATTCTCTAAAACTCCCTTAAATTGCCACAATCATATCACAGCAAGAGTCAGTGTATCCTGCAGCCTTGGGATTATTTGCAGTTTCTCCAATCAAACACCATAGGGAACTTGCATTTATAAGCCCAAGAGACTCCCAGTCTAGGAGAAGTCCCCAAGAATCAAGGTACACTGGGGTACCCTACAGATTCTACCTTCCATCTGAAGCTTACACCAGGGCAAATGTGCATCCTCATTTTCTCTTCCCCACCCCTCATTGCCAAGATTATGGGTTGAAATTCCTATTAAGTTGGTTCATGTAAAAAACAAGCTTAGCAGTGTGATTAAGAACATAGTCTTTGGATCAAACTGAGTGAATTTGAATCCTGGCTGGACCACTTGCTGGCTACATGTCTTCAGGTAAGTTATGAAAACCTTTCTGAGCCTCAGTTTTCTCATCCACAGAGTGGGAACAGTAAGAGCAGTACTTGCCTTTTAGGGTTTGTCTGAAGATTGAATGAGTTCTTATTTGTGAGTCACTTAGAGCACTGCCTGGAAGTGCTATTTCAATGTTTGTTATGTGCAAAACAATCCACTGTATTTACCCCCTTTTTAAATGAAGAAATGTCAGCCTACTTATCTAACTCATTCTCAAACTCCATTTGATTCCTAACACTGGGAGAACTGGTTTCCCCTCCAGTGCTAGAAACCTCCATTTTTCTGACGCCAAGCTTCATATTGTTCCTTTTGCTTCTGTGGGGATGGAAAAGCAGGAAATATGACTTCTCCCCTTTTGTACTGAATCCCTTTGCAGATCAGCCTCCCCAGATCATACCTGTATTAAGTCAAAGACTCTGGACCCAATGGCCATCTTCTTTACAAGTGGGACCACAGGCTTCCCCAAGATGGCAAAACACAGTCATGGATTTGCCTTGCGATCCTCTTTCCCTTCAAGGTAGGAAGGAAGGCATTGAGTTATGGGCTGGGCCACACATCTGGGGTGGTGTGTGCATGTGTGTGAGTGAATGTGTCGGTTGGGAAAAGAGCTCTAAGCAAAATTGACTCCATCCTGCTTCTCCCTTCTGTGCTCTTTGGTTCAGACTGATGAAAATCTGAGAGGTAAATGCTAGGAATCCTAACCATTTGCTGACAGAGGCCTCTGATGACAAAGGAGGTATATTTAGGTCTTGCCTGAGCACCTTGACAGGAGGTGTCCCTGTCAGTTGTCTCAGGGTTTGGTGGGGAAGGACAGAATGTGCTAACAATGTAACTTGAAACAACAGGTCCTTTCCTCTCCCCAGTTATGGACAAATGAAATTTGGAGTTACCCAATTATGAGCTGTTAGGGAAAATAATACCTGGAACCAAGGCACACCATGCCACTGTCCCTAATCTAGAACAAACAATCATGGAGGCTGAAGCTGTAGCCTTGGGTTAATCATTTAATCAATTTTAAACTAAGCCTCTTCTCCCCTCTGCCCCTCCCCCAGAATAATATTCAGGCCAAAACAAGTTCTATGTATTTCTTAACTTATTAACCAGACCAGAGGGCACCAGGAGGTTTCTGGTGGATCTCAGCTATCTGTGCTGATGCATAGTTATACAGTGATAACAACTGAATAGCAAAACCCTGGCAGAATGGTTGTGGGAATAAGGGGAGGGCTTTCTGTGCAGTCTGAATAATAAGAGCAAAGGCACAAAGATATAAAAAGTAGCATTTATAGAACTACTGAGATTTGAGGGTAGCTGGTGCTCAGAGTGTGGGGTAAGGGATAGATGGGAGGAGTTGGGAAAGTAAGCAGGGCCCCAGATCATGTAGGATCTTGTGGGCTTTAGTGTAGCATTTAGAGGGTTGTTTGTTTTGAGAGAAGGGGGGGAGGTATTAGAGCAATGTGACATATTTTAGCAAGGGAAAGACCTGATCAGATTTGTGTTTTGAAAAGATCACTGTGGCAGTGCCTGGGTGGCTCAGTCAGTGAAGCATCTGGCTCTTGATTTCCGCTCAGGTCATGATCCAGGGTCCTGAGATCGAGCCCCACATTGGGCTCTGTGCTGAACGTAGAGCCTGCCTGAGATTCTCTCTCTCTCTCCCCTCCCCACATACTTCCCAGTTGTGCACATGCATGCTCTCTCTCTCAAGAGAAAAGAAAGAAAGAAAGAAAGAAAGAAAGAAAGAAAGAAAGAAAGAAA